AAGATGCAGTCCGTGGTGTGGTTTGCTGTGGTGTTGGTTGCCGGGGTCTCAGCTGTGACTCCAGCAGCTGGTCCTCAAGTGTCACCTTGGATTGACAGTAAGTTATCCTATTCTCACTTTAAATTTTCTCTTATCATTACTGGTAAAGCATTTGGAAGTCGTTTAGTACTAAACGAAAACAAATTCTTTCTTATCTGCACCTATTCTTAAAGATAATGATGTAGACACATTCTCTTTCTTCTCATGTAAGTTTTTTATGACTTATTCTACTATGATCTTTTTTGGCATCGATTTTCCTCGCTTTTCTTTATTCTTTATTATTCTTTTTCCTTTTGTCTTCTTTGTTTTTTGTCTATATTTATGTACGTGTATCTATCTATATGTCTAACTATTTATTTTTTCGAGTTCATCACATACATAGAGTGATATTTGTATAATATATGTATTCCTCTCTACAATGACGCATATAGAAATCTTATTAACTCGTTCGTAATTGTACCTATTAAAACAAATTCATTCTTGTGTACATCTGGGCTTCAAGTTAATCCTACCAACCCATAACAATACGAAAACCTACATGCAATATTTCCCCTACAATTATATAAGTTAATACTACCAAGTTCATCCTATAACCTCACACCGATACAGAATCCTACATATACCTTTCCACCTGTGTATTTGTTTAATTCTAAAAGTTCTCGTTTCTCCGTAGCTTCTTTGTGCGACCTCGCCGACTCCCTGTTGGTGTGCCAGCTGAAGAAGGGCCAGTGCTTCCCCGTGAACACTGTGTTCTCTCCCAAGGGCGGCCCCGTCAAGGCCATCACCGACTGCGCCAACACCACCGGCGTCGCCCTCGGCCCGCAGTTCTACCTTAACATCGGTAATTTATGTTATGCTGTTGGTGGTTGCTTTACTTTGTTTATTCTTTTTCCTTTTGTTTTCTTTGTTTTCACCGATACAGAATCCTACATATACCTTTCCACCTGTGTATTTGTTTAATTCTAAAAGTTCTATTTTCTCCGTAGCTTCTTTGTGCGACCTCGCCGACTCCCTGTTGGTGTGCCAGCTGAAGAAGGGCCAGTGCTTCCCCGTGAACACTGTGTTCTCTCCCAAGGGCGGCCCCGTCAAGGCCATCACCGACTGCGCCAACACCACCGGCGTCGCCCTCGGCCCGCAGTTCTACCTTAACATCGGTAATTTATGTTATGCTGTTGGTGGTTGCTTTACTTTGTTTATTCTTTTTCCTTTTGTTTTCTTTGTTTTTGCCTATCTTTATGTACGTGTATCTATCTATATGTCTACCTATTTATTTTTTCGAGTTCATCACATACATAGAGTTCACTTCCGTTATCGAATCGTAGCCTATGAGTTCAAGCGATCTGTATTAATAGGAATACGTTGCAAGTAAAAAAAATTGTTTAAGTAAATATCACTGTTTTTTTTAAAGTAGAATCACTATAGTTAAAAATAAATATATTCAGGACATAACGTATATATGTTTTCCTCCACGCATTATTTGGTATCTATTTACCTGTCTTTCTTTTTGCTTTCGCTCATATGACACTATTGTTTAAAGACAAAGGTTTCCCTTTCATAATAGCATGCAAAAAGGCATAATACAACGATATACTACTGACATTCGTGACAGTGTGCCATGTTATTTTTCTTCGTTATTTGAAATTGTGCTCCAGTAAGTTGTGCAATGCGAAATTATTAAAAACTTTCATTCAAATGTTATGAGTTAATCCAAGTAAAAGGGTAATGCACTTATTTTGTAAGGAAGTGATTCCTCTTTATAATGTTGCCTCTGATTTATTTTTTCATTTTTTCGTGGAAATGATTGGAATCCAAACATGCTACATGGTCATTTCTTTACGTTATTTGATTTATCTCATGATCTGTAATATGTTAAAAAATCACACTTTAAATAGCGACCGAACAGGGTACTATAACATTTACAAAATATGAAAATAGTGAACAGTTGAAATGGCCGGTTTTAATTTATCTCAGGAAGTGTTCAAGTGTTGCCATTGCTTCGTCCTTGTGACCAGAATGGACCTCAACCTAAGTAGCTTCCCATTAAACATGACTGGAAATAAACTTTGCTTTCTGTCTGCAGACATACAGATACACAAACACATACGTACATATTGCAAGCAGAATAATGAAGGGAAGTACAGGAAAACACACGAATATGCCGAAGGCCTTTTCGCATTTACTGCTTCATCAGGGCATACTTCATGACTTTATTTTATATCATTCAGATATCCCATTAACTTTGTAGTGCATGTCCCCTAGTAACGCCATACCCGACCAACCCGCAGGCCTGGCGTTCGTGTCGGGCAGCCCTGAGAGCTTAGCCGACAAGACCTCCTCGGACCCGAACACCGTCATCGCCATCCGCCGCTGCGCCCTCAACGCCACGGGTCTGGTAGGTCTCGGGCGGCCTCGCTGCGGGTATTGGGGATTTTATAACGGTGTCGGGGTGTCTCGCCAGCGG